TCCATCTGTAAAATAGGAATGATAGTAAAATTTATGTCTTAGAATTTTTATGAAGATTAACTGAATTAGTATAAGTACTTAGAATAATGCCTTGTTCACAAAATCCTATATAATAAAAGGATAATATGCAAAGTGACCCTAACAGCAGAACGACTGGGAATGATGGTCACTATGACACACACTGACCACCAGGGGGCAGACATTCAATGCAGGATCTGCCCGCTGGTGGTCAGTGCACTCCCACAGGGGGAGCTCTGCTCAGCCACAAGCCAGGCTGACAGCTGCCAGTACAGCGGTGGTAGTGAGAACCTCTCCCGTCTCCTCAGCATCACTAAGGATGTCCAACTGCAGCTAGGCCTACTCCCCTCTGGCAAGTGAACATCCCCCGAGGGCTCCCGGGCTGCCAGAGGGATGTCTGACTGTCAGCTTAAGCCCGATCCCCCCAGGGAGCAGGCTTAAGCCAGCAGGTGTTCATCCCCCAAGGGGTCCCAGACTACGATAGGGCACAGGCCGGGCTGAGGGATCCCCCCAAGTGCACAAATTTTTGTGCACTAGGCCTCTAGTAATTAAATAAAGATAAATAAAGAATTTAACCCTTTCTTTTTTATTTACATACAAAATGTAAAACATTAAAAAATTAGGTAACTCATCAAAACATTACATAAATAGGAAAATTGAAAGCACTTGTACAGGTTAATCTATACTAATAAAAGCTTATGTGGTCGTCATGCCCTCACGCTTTAACAATCCATCACCAGGAGGCTGTGTAAGCAGAGGGCACACATGGGTGGGTGGGGACTTGACGCTGTGTACAGGGCGAGGAGACAACGCCAGGGGTCCCGAGGCTCCCGTGGCTCCGCATGGTGACGCCTGAGGCAGGTCCCGGTGGCTCCGCGCAGCTCCGGTGGCGGGACACCTGGCTCCATCCTACCCCTTGGGGCAATCCATCAAGGAACCCTGGATGGGTGGGCGGAGCCTACCTCATTGGGGAGATCGATTGCAGTGGTCCCACACTGTGAGAGGGCACAGGCCAGGCTGGGGAACCCACAAGTGCATGATTTTCATGCACCGGGCCTCTAGTTCTCATATAAGAACAAAGCACAAAGTACAGTTATCAGGGACTACAATTTAGGAGCTGGAAGTACTAACAGTCAAAATACTGTTTTGTACATGAATATATTGTATTTACTATTCTAAAAATATTACCTATTTTCTACTTTTTTTGTAAAATGTTAAATTTCAGTAAAAATTTGTAAATCTCTGAAATAGTGAACAAGAACTTTTTCTTAGTTATTTCTTAGCCATTGCACACTTCTCCTTTCTTTTCTTCATATAATCCAGTCTTTTTTTTTCCCTTTTACTCCTTCCTGACATTTATACTGGGAATACAAGAATAATACAGGCTACCTTTACACAGACAGAGCAGAATACTCTAACATCTAATAAAATATTTTAAGTGAAGTGTTATCTAAATCTCTATTTCATTTGTACTTTGCAAAATTTTTAAATCTAATTTTAAGAGCTTCCTGTACCAATAATAAGCTCAAATTACTTTGTAACAATTACACAAACTATATTCTGTCACCAATACAGATCCTAGGGCATTGGAAACTAAAGAGAAAATAAACAATTGGAAATGTCA